TTGAGATATCAAAAAAGTACTCCAGAGTGTTGTTCAGCATGGGGGTGAGTAGAAAATGAAGGCTAATCATGTTTTGGGTGTAGTATTCCTTTAACTAATGGAAAGGTTCAACGTGATTCAGAAATCCAACCAACTATTGATGGATTTCTTAATCTATGCAACGACTAATGCTTTCTTTGCCAATAATTGACTTTAATCCACAAAAATTTGTTATTTCTTTTCTAATGCCTCAGACTCTATATCTAAAATGTATCTACTGAGTATTGGGATGAGAATCTCTGGTAACTTAGTGGAGAACTAAGGCTTGAATCTGTAAATTGGTTTAAACTTTAGTTTCCACAGAGCATTTCATTCAGATATGGAAAAACTATGGTGAAGCTTCAAAGCTACCAGGACATGACTATACGCATGAAAAATGGCATTAAAGAAAGGAATTATTACACAAACAAGTATCTCTGCAGGAGCTGCAAAGATGCAGAGCTCAGGTGTAAAATGTGCACTTATCAAATATCGCCTGTATGAAACGAGACCAACTTCACCATTAAGGGGAAGCAGCAAAAAGGGAAGAAATTAGATTAAAAAGTTACGTTTTTGAACACATGCAAAGCATAGTATGTGGTGAAAAAACAACACTGCATATTGACCGAAACAGGCCATCTTTATGGTTACGAAAGGTGGTAGCAGTTGTGTTGGTGCTTTTCTATTACATAGACAGAAAAAGATTTCAGAAGTGATTCGAAGACAGATGGAGCAAAATTATTAGAAATGAAGAAGAAAAAGTGTTTGAATCTGAAAAACTGGGGTGATGTTTCATCTTTCAGCAGGATAAAGACCCTAAAAATACATTCAGAAGTAGAATAAGGCAGTTTATATCACACCAATCTATAGGTTAGAATAGATATGTCCAAAAACAAGGTACAAGTAAGAACTTGTGGCAAAAACCTGCAAGTTAATTCTCATAAATACGGTTCCTCATATCTGACTCCCCCCCCCGCAAAGCAGAGTGGGCAAAGATTTAACCACTCAGATATGTTTAGCTGGTAGAGAAATAACCCAAATGACATGCAGCTGCATCCGCACCTAAAGGTTGTTCTGCAAGATATTCAAGCAGGGAAGCTAAAAATGGCATTTCTTGCCAGGGTGGTGGCATCGCCCTTCTTAAAAGAAATCTTAAAAATCATCCCCCTTCTTAAATGACCATCCCGCCATATTTTATTACTTGATGTGTTAAATTTCTACTGTATATTAACAGTAATGGCATTAATATTGCCCCTTCAACATTCAGCGGACTGTTGGCTTACGAGTAGCCTGAGTAAAATAAATAAAATTTGTGGGCTACCATGACTATCAAGCTGATCCCAGTGGGAAATAAGTCCTCTGGATTTGTCCCTAAATATATAGGGGCAGTGATAGCCATCCATGGACTTACTGCAGTTCTACTGTAAGGTGCCTTGGGCAATGACCGGCATACCTAACATGTAACAACCATACCATGAAAAATGGTTTCAGGTTAATAGACTATATTAGTTAGGCTAGGTATGCTTCCAAAAAAAAGAAAATTCCACCATCTGCCGCTTTTTTTTTTTATACAACTAGATTACTGCTTTTAACATATAATTAAAACTATTCTTCCCTTTAAAACTGCTTTCTGGTTCTTGGTTTTAATGTGACAGAATGTAGGAAAGAGAAGGGAAAAGGTTAAAGTAAAGGTAGAATGATGTTGCCAGGTGCTTTTTAGTCTCCTCCCCCCATGGGTGTCAAATTTAAGCAGTAAACGTTGCTGCCACACCTGCTCTTACCTCCACCCCCCTCCTATGAATATTACACCTGCATTTGGTTTATTGTTTGTACTGGATCAGGCTCTGTCAGCAGACTTCATCCAAAGATTATATCCTAATCTGTTTTAGGTTGCTTCTTTTTTTAAATGGATTAATTCACATGTTTGGTTAAAACAATAAAATAAAAGAAAAACACTTAC